AAAATTATCTAACTGGAAGAAAATATTCTTTTACATATGAACACTACATGGATATGTGCGTATGTTACTTGGTTAAGGGTAACACAGAAAATAAACCTAACAACATTGTATATTTATTGACTGGGTTCAAAGGTAATATGCATTTTTGTCAGCCAAAGAAACAAATGATTCGGTTCATTGAGTCTACAATTTTAATACATTTTGTCCGAGAAACTAGTCAATAAATGTTTTGTTACACCTTTTACTTTTTATTATTGAAATATCATGAAGTAAATTTTGTTTACCCATCTAAAGGCCTTGGGCAACAGGGGTAGACATTAACTTTTATTTCCACTTGTCCTTCGAGCAAGTGAACTACAATTTTGACATGTCCGAATGCAAAATTTGGTTGCCCAAAATTTTTAAGAAAAAAAACATTTATTGTACCTTAATTTGTTGTAAATATAAAAGTTGACAAATTAATCTCTGTTTTGAAGTTAACTGCCAGAAAAAAATGTTGATATGATGGTGATGCTACATTTGTAAATGTACTTGTAACTATATAAAACACTTTCCTGTCATTTACATGTAACTATCCTGAAAACACACAGAGTATGCAGGAATATTATTTTCTTACGATTTTTGTTTGAAATTCTAATTTTTCCTCTAAAAAATTGAGGTGAAGCCAGAAGGAAGATACATTGTGCACCGTGAATAATTGATGTTCTTCATATAATTCCTTAATTGGGTAGAGAAAGTATTCTGTAATCTCTATTTTCATAATAAGACTGTAATGTAAGTTGTCAGACAGATAATCGTATGTTTTTAAACTACGAAAAAAAAAACCCAGAATAACGAACCCGATTCCTGAATAAAGGTAAGATCCAGAAACGCTACCGAGGGATTCCGAATGCAACAACAATGTCCCGTTTTTGGCGAAAATCAAGTGTTTGATTTATTGTGTTGTTTATAAACTTATGTGAGATGAAAAAAAATGTTTCTATCAGAAATATCCACTTGCCCGATCGGACAAGTACATTGATAGTTTCACTTGCCCGAACTGAGAATTTACTTGTCCCGGGCAATCGGACAACCGTTAATGTCAATCCCTGGGCAAACAACATAAAAATATGCTGTAGTATTTGATATCATATGTCATATGGTTCTGTCACATTTAAAATGATTTTAAAATTGTAATGTTTTTCTTAAATACTGAATTACAACAAGTTTTTATTTCAAAGCGGCATTTGTGGCAATAGAAGCGGTCAATTTTGCAGCTAGCTGGTTCTTATAGGGAAAAGACTGTCCTAGTATAAGTAGCCTGGAAAAAAACTAATCAGTCAGGTGTTTGACCAATACTTCAGGATGATTTCTAAAGAAAATTTTCAAAAAAATGGAATATTATGACTAAAACTGGAGGGAAGGGGTGGGTTTGACCAGTGTAACTTCGTTGGGAGAGGGGGACCAAGGTTACTGGCTTTTATTTAGAAAACTGTGTAATGTATGGTAAAATTGATTTATACATGTAATTGAATTGCAGATTATTTATGTACATGCTAAAAAGGAATAATTTACACTAAAAAAGTATAAAGTATTTTTCAAAAAGAATTGCAGTGAATCCAGCTAATTTTGATTAAGTTTTCCTTACAGTTTCAGGAATAAATTTAAAAATAGTTATCAGATTTTTGTCAAAAGTAAACATCCTTTATTAAAAATTTGATAAGCTGGGGAAAAGTTGTAATGAAACATCCTTTATTTTATAAATTTTATAAGCAGTAGGGGAAAGTAACTTACAAGTTGCTGATCTGTTCGTCACGCTTCTTGGGATGAAAATGAAAGTAAAAGTAAATGCTAAAACCCTACTGTAGAATTTCCGAGATAAAATGTAAACAATGGCCTGGTGTTAGATTTTTCGTTTCTTTATTTATCAACTGTTTTAGAGGCATCTTTTCGAAAAATGTGGGTGGCCCTTAAAAGGGCCGTGGGGTTTTAATCAGTGAACAGCTGCTCACTTAGCCTTTGTTGCTTTCTTTGCCTTCCTTGGGGAGCTGGGCCTTTTTCTTGCCTTGGATTTGGTCTTCTTGGGCGACTTTCTTGCTGCTTTGGGCTTCTTGGCTGCCTTCGCTTTCTTTGGTGACTTTGCCTTTCTTGCTTTCTTTACTTTCTTAGCTGCTGCTTTCTTTGCCTTGGGTTTCTTTGCCTTTGGCTTCTTTGCTTTCTTGGGCTTCTTCGCTGCTGCCTTCTTTGCCTTTGGCTTCTTAGCTGCCTTCTTCTTGGGCGTTGTTGCAACTTTTCCTACTCTGAAACGTCCGCTTGCACCGTGGGCACTGGATCCTTTAGGTCGAACAAGGGCTCCTGACTTAAGACCTTTAGCGAACGCGGCTTTCATTGCTGAAGACAGGTGTGTTTCACTCACCGATTTGTTGTTAGCCAAGATGTATTTTCTGATGGACTGGGCTGAGGATCCTTTACGGTCCTTCATAGCAGTAATGGCCGCACACACCATGTTGAGAGTTGTTGGATGGGCCGCTTGCTTGGCTGCTGCTCTGGGTTTGGATGCCTTCTTCTTTGGTGACTTTCTTGCCTTCTTTGCCTTTTTAGGAGATCCACTTCGGCTGCGGCTTCTACTTCTACTTCTGCTTCGGCTCCTGCTTCTGGACTTAGTCATCTTTGGGGTAGCTGGCTTCGCCGGTGCTGGAGATTTTTTCGCTACAGCCTTCTTAGGTGCTGCCTTCTTTGGAGATCGACTTCGGCTTCGGCTCCTAGACCTTGACTTGGATCGGGACCGAGAACGAGATCGGGATTTCGCCATATTCTCACGAACTGACTGGAACTCTTGCTTGAACAAGAATGACGCTCGAAGCTGGTGACGCGCTATTTATTGAAGTAGCGCGGACGTTAAAGAGAGCACCCTATAGCCGGATGCTGAGTTATCATGGCGGACAGCGAAAATGGCATATTTGTGCTTTCAGAGTGAACGTTTTCGACTTATTCTCTTCGTCCCTTTGCACCCTGGATACCGTGTAGCCTATGTATTATTGAGCTGACATTAGGAGATCATTTATCAGCATTCATATTTTTTCTATTGCGATTTTATGACAAGTAAGCGGCTTTTTAGTGTGTGCTTTGTAGGTCATCGCTACTGACACGTCTACTTCTCATTTTAATTTCTCTCTAGGGATACATGATATAAATGATTTAACTGTCTTGAACTTTTGTACACATGTATTTCTTCTTGTCTGGTATAGAATTTTGAAATTTGAACACGGTTATTTATGAAATATTACACTTCTTTGATAACCAACTCAACCGTTTTCAAAAAATCAGTAACGTTACTATAGAACCATAACAATAACAATACCAGCTAGTTTTTGTTATTTTTATTTTATATAAAGCGACAATATCTATTTTCTAAAACATACATTATTATTAGAAAACAAAATTTTAAACAAAAGGGATGAAAATAAAGAATTTTTAAAAATATTAATCGTTTTTCACAGCATGCATGTCTAGGCTTACATTTAGTGAACCGTTTCAAATCTAAGCGAAAGTTTGAAGTTTTCAAGATTTAACGTCTTGTCAAACATTAAAACATGAATAAAATATTTTGTTTATATGATGAAATATATATTTTACAACATTTTAGTTGACATTTCATATAAAGTATTCTTTATTTCATACAATATCAGGTGACCGTCTGTTTTTGCAGACGGGAAGCCATTATTTTCATTTGGAGAAAAAATATTGGTTTCAAAGTTTTAGGTATTGACTGAAAATCATTAACAAAAGTTTGCAGTCACCATTATACAAAGTTGTAGGAATTTTTCTTTTAGTATTTCCACATTTATTTGAAAAAAATGTTCTCGTAAAAACATGGATTAGGCTACCTCAAAACAAAGTGCTAGGCTATATTCCGAGCTCTTAACTAAAATTGAATCTTAATTTATTTTTTGAGGGAAAAAAATGGTATGTTTATTTAAACAACAGGTGGGGAAAATTTTAAAGTTTATCAAGAATAATCTAAGTCTTTGAATTTTGAAATGAACTTCATATGTCTTAACCTATGTTTTCATATTCAAGATTATGAAGATACCTAAAAAAAAATCCAAGCAATATTTCAAAAAATAATTTGGTTTCAAAGTTACATGTATTGAATGAAAATTATTAAAAGACCTTTGTAGTCACCACTAAACAAACTTGTTGGACTTTACCATCAAGTGGTTTTACTTTTATCTAAAATATTAATTTTCAAATGCATGCACAAAATAAATAAATAATTTCAGTATCAGGCACAAATATCTATTGATCTATTTGGATCTCTAAGTAAATATTGAAACTTTTTTAAAAAATTATTTTGAAGAAAAAGTAATGTTATGTTTATTTTAAGAACAGATAGAACAAAAAATGAAAATGTAGCTTAGAACCTTTGAAATGATCAAAGCACCCATGTTCTGTTTTTTCTAGCTTCCCCCCAAAATTTTCTAATCTTTTTCAAATTTTGTTTTTCCTCTTCTTTTCTGCAGTAAAATAAACTGTTAAAAAATTATTATAGCGCTCTGACAAGAAGCAATTAAAAAAAAAAGACACTGAAACTGAAAGTTTGCAGATCTATTTCACTGTATTTTGGAAACAGTAAAACACTATTTTCATTTCAATATTATGTAAAGGAAAAGAAGGAGGAGGTAAAAAAAAAAAAGATTGATCATTATAAGGGCCAAACATTCATAAAATAATGCAATAAGACGCGAATAACATTATTTTAATATTATCTAAATTTATGGCTTTTATTAAGAGTTTTACATAAATTGATAAAAATATCCTATAGGTATTTGCATGCAAAGGGAAAAAAACACTATCGTTTCATAATCATAGAGTGATAGACAAAATATGCTCTAGATTTGCGTTATTTAACGTTAAATAAAGAAATAAATCAATCTTATGCATACGAAATTTATATTAATCTTGTGAATGTTTTCAGCATGTTCAGAACAAAAATAAATCGGGATCGGAAAGCTGTAAAGGCAGCATGGAAGAGGTCAAGAAAGCAGCGTGTGACTTCATTGACAAATATGCCAGTGAGTTGCATCATCTAAGCAAAAGCATCTGGGAGAAGCCTGAGTTGGCGTACAGGGAACATCACGCACATGACGTCATAGCGGCATATCTCGACAAACACTATTTTACTGTGGAGAAACACTACAAACTCGACACAGCATTTCGTGCTGAATTTTCGACCCCAAACTCTAAGGATGGTCCCCGTGTGGCAGTACTATGTGAATATGATGCTTTGCCAGGGATTGGTCATGCTTGTGGTCACAATCTTATTGCAGAGGTGGGCGTGGCAGCTGGAATTGCCATAAAACAAGCAATGACAACATCTGGACAGGCCCTTTGTGGGCAGGTATAGCTTTATACACAAGCACTTGGGGGTGTCCTGGGCACATACACCCCGGCCCCCGATTTTCCGGTTTTTTTTTTTTCCTTTTTAAATCTGTCTTCGACACACTTTATGTATCAGTCGAAAACGATATATTTAAAAACAGCATAATTATTAAGACAAATGAGTTACATTATCGATATCAGATAGTGTATATATAGTATAGTATATACATGCGTTCATGTACAAAAATGTGGGAAAAATGTGTCAACCTTAGATTTAAAAAAGAAAAAATGGAAAGGGGGTCCAGCCCCAATGTGCTAGCTGTGCTTCATACTTCAACATAGAGTAGAATTTTATAGTTCAAAGCAAATATTGTTGGCAGTAAATTTTTGTCATCCTCGATTGTTTATTGATGTCTCAATATTCTACATGTACATTACTATTTTATTTTAAGTATGTTTGAGCATAGATATAAACACTATACATCATCATCAGCAAATATTGTCTACATCGTAGTACTATGTAAAATTACTGTAAACATGTTACGTTTGGCTGTGTATTCTTTTTTGCGGCTTAAGCGGATCGCAGCAACTGCTAAATCAAGTACATGTACTTCGCTAAATGTCTTGCACGTATACACATAAATAAGAATGTGAAGAAACGCGCAAAATCAATGCCCTGTTCACACGAAGAGTTTAATTCGCAGTAAATTTATGTGAAGTAAACTAATGCGAATCAAACTAATGTGAATTAAATTGCGTTTACACGACAGCTAATGTGAAGTAAACTAATGTGAATTAAAATTTTACTTCTGCAACCTGGCATCAGCATGGCTATTATGACGTCACCAGCAAATCACGTCACCTTATGCTGAAGCAGATCTATTTGATATAATAGCAAAGTGTCTGTATGTCTGTATTTAATGATTAATAAAATTTTCCGTAGTTTTTCACTCAAAAATAGCACAAGTACCTATAGCTGACCACCGACAAGTGGCATTTGACTAAATTTTGCCATTACGCATGCGTCAAAATATAATTCGAATTAGCTTCGCTTAGCGTTCACACATAGCTAATGCGAAGTAATTTAATGCGCAGTAAACTAATGCGAATTAAAGTAATTTGCATTAAATTCTCCATGTGAACTCTAAGTGAAGCTAATTTGCAGTAACTTTACGTTTAATTCGAATTAAACTCTCCGTGTGAACAGGGCATAAATCTACGCTAACTTATTCAAAAGTCAATTTCTGCCAAATATCGTACATGTACATGCTAAATATAATACATTTACAATATCAGTCATATTACCAGGTATATACCAATATTTAACAAAATTAAACCATATTCCAGCTGTCAGTGATAGGTACCCCGGCTGAGGAGGGTCGCTGTGGTAAACACGACTTGATTACAGCGGGAGCCTTCACCTCAGTGGACGTGGCCATGATGGCTCACCCCTCACAGTACACACTGGCCCGTCCCAAGTATACGTCCATGATTCCGTAAGTGTGCAAATCACCATTGTATGGTTCATCAAAACATTTCTAGTAAACATTTTCTCATATTGTCTACTTTTTTACGGTTCTATAGCAATGAATTTAAAATTCTGGTAAATCTTAATGTCATAAATTTGAGGGGTTTTGTGATCTTTCAAATATTTGATATGTTTATATGAATACAAATTTAAAAAGTGGTTGTTAAAGAACAAATGATGGTGAAAAACTATGAATCTTTCCATAAAGCCTAATTTATCCTCACTAATTTTGAAATCATTTTAGTGTGACTATCAAGTTCAGTGGTCAGGCAGCCCATTCAGCCTCTCACCCCTGGGAGGGCCTCAATGCTCTGGACGCAGCGGTCATGTGCTACAACAGTATATCGTGTCTCCGGCAGCAAATGAAACCAACATGGAGAGTTCACGGTTAATATAATTCAGGTCCTTTAATATCTGCTCTCCCTTTAAAATCAGTACAAGACATTTCGAATTTTAAAATAGTTTTAATAACATTTACTTTCTTCATTAAAAACAGCTAGTTATAGTGTAAATGAAAAAGAGGAGGAAAATCATAATCAAAAAAAGAGAAATTGGTTTATCATTAAGGAAATGACTGATAAACAGGTAATTTCTTTGGTTGATGAGGGTATGTCTGATGCAAATAGAAATTTACATAAATATATTTTCAATTAGAAATTTGCATAAATATAGCAGGGCTCTAGAGGAATTAATTATCTAGCATTACAGTGTATGAGATGATTGAAAAAATAATGTTTTGAGATGTCCATGATTGTTTTTCTCAGGGGTAATCCGTAATGGAGGGGCGGAGCCTAACATTATACCCGAGGAAACGGAGATGGAATTTTTTCTGAGAACACCATCAGAAGCTGAACTGGAAATCCTCAAGAAGAAGGTGATAGATTGTATCAATGGTGCCGCTCTCTGTACCGGGTGTCAGGTAAAATTTTATCATGAGACTAGCTTTAACCACTGAATCATTCTTTCTGTACTTTCTTAAACATTTTACCGCTTTGCCCCCCGATGCATTACATGCTTTGCCCCCTGATGCCACAATTTGACGCCATGCCCCATTTTCCTGTTGATGACGCTATGCCCTATTTCCCTGTTGACGAATTATGATGCATGATATTCACAACAACCCTAAATAGCTCTGTGATTTCCCCCGTTTCTAAATAATTCAACTCTAGCACATTCTGTTTTTTAATTATAGGCAAGCTACACCTTTGCTGAGAAACATTACCAGGCTCTACTGTCCAATAACACAATGGCTGAATTATTTGAGGAGAATGGGAGACAACTGGGGATTGAGTTTGACCAGAGGGAGGAGATACGCACTAAGTTTGGTGGTTCTACAGACATGGGCAATGTCTCTCATGTGGTGCCCAGTATCCACCCCAAATTCTACATAGGAACCACCGTTAGTAATCACTCCAAAGGGTTTACAACTGCAGCAGGTCAGTTCACTACGGCAAAGTTATATCGGTCAATTTTTTCCCCATTGTACATGTAATTTGTCATAAGAATTAGCAAATATTACATACTGTATACAGGGAAAATTTCGCCCCCATTTTATTTTTGCCCCTTTCGCCATTGTCGCAAGTAGGCAAATTTAAAACGGGGCGAATTCAAAGAAAACAGTTAATATAAATTCTTAAACAGAACTGGGATTAGGCAAATTTAAAATGGGGCAAATTGTAAGCAAGTGTAAAGGGTGAAAATAACATGGGGCAAAAATATCCCTGTTTACAGTATACATGTATCTATGTGTATGCATATATTCATATTTTGATGTCCATGATGCAATTGTTACTACCTATTCTTAACTTCTGCTAAACTTGAGACAAAATATATTATATATATCTTTTTTTCAATATTATGTATAAAAAAATTATGCTAGATTTTAGATACACATACCTAAAAATAAGTTTACATGATTGTATTTACACTGTATTGGTCAAGCTGAAAAAGGAGTCTGTGAGCGAATGCTCATTAGTAATACACCCGCTCTGATGTGAATATACTCTATCATGTCATTGTACACAAATTCAGTTACGAGGATATGCACAGATAAACAGGAAGTTGACATCAGATTTAAACAAAAATGAATCCCATCAAATGACATGTCTCCACAAACATTGTGCTAAAATTTCAAGCAGCTGCAATGAATAGTTGCTGAGAAAACTGTGACGAAAATTTGTTATGCATGGTACAGACAGAAGCAAGGATAAACAGGAAGTTGACATGGGATTTGAATAAAAAAGAATCCTATTATATGGTATGCCTGAGCAAACAATATGGTAAAATTTCAAGCATCTGCAAAGAGTAGTTGTTAAGAAAACTGTGACCAAAGTTTGTTACTGACAGACGCGGACAGACAGGCGGACAGACAGACAGACAGACACACAAGGGTAAAACAGTATACCCCCCTCTACTTCGGAGGGGGGTATAATAATCACAAATGTTTCACACCATGGTACTTTTTAACCTTTGTCCAAGGCCTTGTTGCAAACAGTCCATTGAATGCCAATTTAAGTAGAATCTTTTTTTCTGATGAATCAATTTTCATTTTTCAGGAGCAGATATCGCCCAGAGTTACAGCCTGGCCGTGGCTAAATCCTTGGCAATGACGGCTATAGACATAATGTCCAAACCAGGACTGATGGCTAAAATACAGGAGGATTTCCATAAAGACTTACAAAGTGTATCCTAGTCTAACCAGTTACTGAGAAAGTATGTGAAATAGACAGTACCCCGATATTGTCTGATTCTATTTATATTAAACCAGATTTTATAACATGAAAAATACTATATAACTGATAAATCTTTTCACAAAAAAACGTCTTTGGTTTTTAGTAAAATGTTTTTATTAAAACGATACAATTATTTTTATAAATGTTCTGCTAGTTTTATAAAACATTGAAAAAAATTGTGATGATTTATACAACATGATTTGAATTTAAGATTTATTTATATAAAAGTGTATGTATATTTGGACAAACATGAGGATACACTTACTGATTTTAAAGAATGTGAAATGGTTAACTACAGTGTTGGTCTGATTAAAAACCCATTAAGTTAAAAAAAATTAATGAATACCCAGAAACCAGTCTGTTGTTTTTTTTTAATTTAAAAAATCTGTTTTCAAATTTGTATTATAATTGTGTAAGAATTTATCCATGTTGTTTTAACTATCTTGTACCAAAAAGAACGAAATGTACTAGCAATGCAGAAGTAAATTCAGTTTTACTTTTCTGTCATCACATGTTTCTATATAGGGAAGATCAGAACTCATTATGGGTCATCAACATGTTTATTTAAACTTTAAAAATTCAGAATGTGAGCGTGCATGATGGTTTGTTTCAAACTTGTGACTTTAAGAATGAACATATAAATAAGCTGATCAGTTAGATAACATTGTGGATGATGCCTTATCTCATAGATCTTTTTCTTTTTTTCATCTATTTATATTCCAAATATAGATTAAATTGTAATATCTCAATATGGCATGGTATGTTGGAGATGGATTGATAAAATGGCTTGTTGTCAGATCTGATTCTGCATATATTCATGAGATTATTCAATAAGCTATTTATTCTACAAACAGAAGTAATTGATTTACGTTGATTGTTAGTGAATAAAAAAAACAATGAATTTGATTTATAGCTTCATTTCTTCCTTTTTGACTATTTCTACAGTTAGAGGGTTACTGATAAATAACACCCACTTTTTTTTTCCCTCAGAAATCAGCAATACTATTATATCTATCAGATTTACTTGGGAGGCAGGGTTAAGTTCAAATAGAGAATGAAAAAAATGTTTGCATGTGAAAGCAATTGTGGAATTTTTTTTTTTACATCTGAAATTCATGCTAAAAAATATTTATTTATACAGAAATTGTCACAAATATAAATGTTTGAACACCAAAGAAGTTCTACAATTTCTTTGTATTTTTTTTTGGAATCTATTTTTCATCTCATAACAATTTTAATTCAATCAAAAACAAAAAAAAATGGAATTTTCTGATGAGACGGTAGCTCTACTGGTACTTACAGTGTAAATTTATTTTATTTCCCAATTCCTGTATGCAATATTTGGCAGAAATTGATTTTTTTTAACTAGTTAGCCTAGATTTGAAATAGCAATTTTCTTTATATCAATATATGAAATAAAATATTTAGTGATGTACTTGATTTAGCGGATGATGCTTTCCACGAAAGGCGCTAACTAGAATACACGGCCAGTATGTTTTACAGTATTAAAGATGCAGCTTAGTATAGAATCCTTGTAGAAAAAGTCCAATCTGACTAAGAATTCAGAGAAATAGATATTCAAGTTAGCCATGGAAACATCGTTTGGCAAAATCAGTATACAAAATTATTATTTTACTTAAATTAGTGAAATTAGAATAAACTGTAGAAGGCCTTGCATTTTGAAACATTTTCTTTAGTCTGAGTAACTATGTTAACATCGTTTTGCCAAAATCAAAACTGAATACAGAATTACGTACCTGGGAAAGCTTTACTTAATGAAATCAGAATTAAAACTGGATCGATGAGGAGTGTCATTTGAAGAAAATCAAAGAAATTTCTATTTTTAGTTACCATGGCAACACAGTGAGTGGAAATCAAGACACAGATAAATTGAATTGTATATCTTTGAATAGTCTACTTGAGAACTTGTCATCCCCACAAAGGCTTAATGTATGATCCTCTCTAATTCTGGAGGGAACTGTATGCGGAATCTGGAACATGGCTTAGAATAATATCTACCTGTCTACCAAGTCTTAATGAAGTCCGATCAGAACTGCAAGGGGATAAGACTTTTATTGCAGTTACATGTATTTGTGTTTGTTTGTATACTGCACTGGCCTTTGCAATTTAACAATTGTGTCTTACTCTCCTGTATTAGTACACAGTTATACCGGGTATTTTGTCGCTACCGAGTGCTGGTGATGATTGATTACTGAAAAGTGACTAAGTGAGCGGCTTTACATAGATGCCCTCAGATATAGCAAGTGACTAATCGAATATGGCAGACAAATTCCTTTTACAAACTTTGTCCAGCTTTAAGTACATGTAACTAAGTTTTCACAATGGTTGTTGCTGAATTGTATGTCACAAGCAATTAAAAGAACTTGCATATTGTATCTGTATTTATAAATTTGTAGGTACATACAGTATGTATTGTGCATACATAACAATCATTTCAGTTAGATAAATCTCTTACTAGTAATTAATATGAAGTTCAAGTTAAGGAAGTAGATATTTCTCAATTGACTTCGTTGTACTATACGAGGGACGTTCAATAAATATTCTCTCATTATTGAATCTTTAATGAATTGATAACAGTTGATGTGACCACTTTTCATCGCATTATTTCATTGTGGGAAGCTAGAAAACAAGGGCTATTCGACACACTGCATCAAATATGAATCACCGTGCATAACCCCACATATGGGGGCGCGGAATGGTGCCACCCGGGGGTGAAGAATTCGAAGCGGAATTTGCAATGTTCGTTGACCTGATTAGCTTTCCTGCAGTGATTGAGATGAAAATAATCCTAAATTCACTTACGGCGGAACACAGTGATATCCCAGCTTACTGTTACTCGTTTCCCAGCTCGGGACTCGTCCTAAAATACATGAACACTTCTGCAATATCTGGCAAGAGCATGCGGGAACGCAAATTTGACCGTTTCTTTGTGAAAGTTGGTGCCTTATATATCACTCAGATTCATTTGACTTATGTGAGGGACTTCTAGATATGATTTTGCTCAAGACACTCTAATGTTTCGGAGAATTCCACCTCAAATAAATGGGGCAGACTTCAATATAAGTGTGTGGCACTCGGGGGTGAAGAATTTAGTGGCGACTGGGGGAAGGAATAATTTTTAGTCATTGTATATCAATCGTAATTCTTAAAATCTGCTCTGTTTTAATTGTTTAGATCCTGGTATATAGATTTAAATTGGAACTGTCTTTTTTAAATGATTCGACAGTGCTTTGTACAGACACGTAGCATCGTTTTTGAAAGGGGGGGGGCAAGAAAAAATTTTACTTACCTGTAAAAGTTGACAAGCAAAAAAGAAGGGGGTGTTGAACAAACTCGAAAATCCTATTTCGGGGGCGGGGGTTGGGGGGGGATGGGTAGTGGCCAATTTTTTTTTGGGGGGGGGGGGCATAGTGATACAATACTTTATTTCCTTGATATCACTATACTATGGTACGAAGTGGGGGAGGGGGTCAACCAACCTTTCAATGGACATTTTCAATAGTAAAGGTGATGTGAAAAAAAGTGTTGGGGGAGCCCCCCCCCCCCTCTGGTCATCCTGTTGCTACGTGCCTGTTGTAGCAAAGATTTTTACCAAATGATCAATAAGATAATTAACAGAGAAACTTAATTCTAATTACACTTTATAATATTTATCCAATTTCTTAAACAACAGATCTATGTTAAGCTGAACATTGTCATTTTACTACTACGGAAAATAGTCGAATATGGCAAGCTAATCCTATGGTGCGACAAATAAGGTGAAATAATAAAATTCAATTATAACACAAGTTCCTTTCATCTATCATTAATTTCTTTTGAAGAATCTCCACAATTTGCAAAAATCTTACAAAGACTGAAATTATTTGCCAATAAAATACATGCTTGTAGACGTAAGAGGCCAAAAGGGTTCATTTTCTCATACTTTAATACAATTTTTCGATTGCAGTGGGCCTTTTTTTCATTTTGTAACAGGAAGTTTGCGTAAAATATACATTTTTGGGTAACAAAAGCATGGAGCAAAGACCCACTATCCTTTAGAATACATTTCTATGACACAACATTCGATTTTTTTTTCGGATAAATACTTAAGTCCATTTGGTTAAGAGTCCACTCCACTTCTCCTCAGGAGATGTGCAGTAATTACATTTTCGAGTGTATCAGTCTAAAACGATTTACTAGTATTTAAAAAGGCTTTTAGAAACAAAAGGGTTACATTATCAATACATGTATCAAATAATGCGTAGTACATGTATATATATGTAATATGTGAAAAAACTTCGAAAAGTGTGTCAATCCCAAATCTAAAAAGAAAAAATGGAAAGGGGGGTCCAGCCCTCAAGTGCCTGTGGTGATACTCAATGTTTTTATTGCTAGGGGTTCGAACCCCACGAATACCATTTACAATAACAGGTCTGGAATAAAAAATGTTTTCGATAAAATTTTTCTCAGAAAGGTTTTGTTTACCTTAATTTCAATAATGAAAAAATTACTCTAAATTCTTTTCACAAATTGAATATGATTTTTATATATCTGAAGCTATGGGTATTCTGAACGCCTTGTTAGCTCCTCTCCTTTCAATAGTCAGTATATTTAATTAACTTCACTGCATGAACTCGCGTATATATAATTCTAAATCAATTCTATATACTAGTACATGGAACATATGGAGATAATGCACAGTACTCAAGATCAAAAGTTCATAAAATAATACAAAAAAGGAGCAGAGCACACACGGACCCGCTAAACATCAGAGGTGAGATCAGGTACCATGGAGGAGTGAGCATCCCCTGCCGACCGGTCACACTCGCCGTATGCCCCTTGTCATGATCTGGAAAATCCCTCGTCAATTCAGTGTATAAATAACGGACTAACAAGTAGATATGTAATATGTACTCTTAACTATTGCTCAAGTGTCTATTTACTGTAAAAGAAAGATATGTATACCTCAAGTTTATTTAAGGAATGAATCTTATTTTAACCTATAATATACGATAAAACGTAACTTGGACCAATTTATGTATATACATATATATGTATTGTATAACATGGATTACATTAAGCTTCATTCCTTATAATTTCAGTGTAAACAAAGAGACAATTTTTTCCTCCAAAAATGGCTTCAAACTGAGCAAATTTTAAAATTAACGTCAAGCGGAGTATAAACGTTTTGTCGTAGCTCATTGTGACGTAGCCAAGTTATGTGATACAATATAAATTAAATCTTTTATCCATCAAATGACGTGTTACAACTAAAATTAAATTAAACAGATGTCTAGTAAACAGTTAAAATATGCGCTAAAGCGCACTTATTCAGGGAAAAGGTTTATGAAATTATGAGAGAGTTAATAAATTTATTGTAACAATTCAATGCTTGTATAATCAATATAATTTGTATAGAAACAATTCCTTTCCATTAGTTAGAGATTTATTCCTTCCCCCAGCCTCCACTAAATTCTTCACCCCCGAGTGCCACACACTTATATTGAAGTCTGCCCCATTTATTTGAGGTGGAATTCTCCGAAACGTTAGAGTGTCTTGAGCAAAATCATATCTAGAAGTCCCTCACTTACATCAGGTGAAGCTGAGTGATATATAAGGCACCAACTTTCACAAAGAAACGGTCAAATTTGCGTTCCCGCATGCTCTTGCCAGATATTGCAGAAGTGTTCATGTATTTCTAGGACGAGTCCCGAGCTGGGAAACGAGTAACAGTAAGCTGGGATATCACTGTGTTCCGCCGTAAGTGAATTTAGGATTATTTTCATCTCAATCACTGTAGGAAAATCTAATCAGGTCAACGAACATTGCAAATTCCGCTTCGAATTCTTCACCCCCGGGTGGCACCATTCCGCGCCCCCATATGTGGGGTTATGCACGGTGTGAATGCTAAAGAATCATTAAACTAGAGTAAAATTGAACGCGTCATTAAAGCTGCTGTAAAACTTGTTAATTTCCCAAAAATACCCCTGGTATATTAACTGAAATATGTGAAATTAACAGCAACTTATGTCTGTTTCATTCATACATGAACAGGTGGATTTCAATTAACAAAAATTGTATAATGGGCATCAAAAATGGGTACCGTCCTTGTCAACAAGGACATACAACAACCAATGTATATTAGCGAAAATTCAAAAAATCATAATTGATTATGTTTTATTGACTTTAAGACACACAGCAAATTTTATAGACATCATTTTGGGGGTAGTTCACACTGTTTTAAAGAAACATTTCATAGTAAAAAAGTTTAATACTCAAAGGTCACCCTATATTTTTAAAAATAAGTGAAAACGACAGCGTGTAGAAAATCTAAACAATTATTTTAAAAAATCACAAATTGAACTTATCCACGTTTGTCTGAAATTCAAAACAGGTGATGAAACTTGAATCCATTTTGCGTTAAACCCTCAAAACAAATTTACAATAAGATGCACTTGACAAAACTGCAAAGGCCTAAGAAGAGCAAAGATTTGCAGGAACACAAAACAGTTTTATACGCTATTTTCTTAAATATTAGCGGTCTTGTTGTTCAAATTCATATTTGGGGAGGCAGTTCAATTTCTGGAGGAGTCTAGTAAGCAAAATATTTGCAACAAAATGAAAGGTTTATGAGAGGAAGGAAACGAAATGAGGAATTCACTACATTAAATTTCTTCATGACAGCGTCCAAACCCTCAGGCCATGAAGAGTAGAGGAGTTTTGGGGATAAATAGAAAGTTAATGTTTTGTCACATCAACAATATTCGCCAGATCTTTCAGCCTTTGACTTGTTTCATTTCCCAAACTAAGGAAAGCACCTTTCAGAAAGAAAAAAACAAGTACAGCAAATGATAGGATCTGCCATATTCCAGTATACGAAGGGTCATACTCAAAAATGTGTTCTAAAAACAATTAGAAATTGAATAAAAATGTTACGGACATGTATTTTAATTCAAAGAGAATATTTTAGCTAAATCATTAAGACGAAATCATAGAAAATCGTTTTTTTTTGTTTCTTTCCGAGCCCCGATGACATTATTTATTGAACGTCCCTCGTATTTGTGAAATTTAATGTGAAGGTACTACTTGTAATATTGTAGATGAAAAACATTTTATAAACAAATATTTTTTTTCTAACATGTAGTTTCTTGGCAAGATAACTAAAAAAAAATTTTTTTTATTTAGGTGTATATTTTTGCCATTGGCAAGTTTCTATTCAGGAAGGTAGTTTGCCGTTTGAAATATTGATGGCAATTTTCCAAACTGCGTTCGTTTCGCTAAAATTGTCGTGATCTTCTCCAGTTCGTCGTTGTCCTCGCTGTTTTCCAAGATTTTGGAGAGATCAGCAGATGACCTTAACAGTCCGTGTCTCTGCATGTCCGACTCCATGATGTCGGGCAAGATCAAGGTATTAGTGGGAGGTTTATCATGCCGGACATCTAGACGAAGCGCCACACTGTTCGGAGTTCCTCTATGATGCAGAAGATCTTCGAAATCTACGTCTTTGGCATGTCTGTTGTTGGATGGGGTTGATTCACCTACTATTAAGTTGTCTGTGCCCGTCCTCGGAACATTGTCCACAGCGATATCTGTGATGTTGTAATCACTTCTGTTACCAAGTAAATCATGTTGTTCTTCATTGAAGTTGTCCTTATCCTCTCTGATAATGGCAAGATTAGGGTTGTATTCTTTAACCTCTGTCGTGAGGTAGTCGTCGAAGTTTTCGTAAGCTTTCTGCATTTCGTAGGTCGATTCTGGTGTCGATGAGAGCGATTCTGAGTTTTCAGATCCTTTCTCAAAAATAGGCGTCTCAGAGGAACATGGGGAACTTTGCTTTAGAGATGAATTTCTGTCCATTAAATCAGATATCTGACTTTCTTTCCACTGCAGTTTCTTCTGCAGATGTTCAATTTCCACACGAACTGTTGCAGCCATGTTGCGCAGTAGTTTGAGATCAGTCACCGGTGTAGGTGACTGGTAGTTGGTAGATCCCCTCACTGTTGCTCTCAATTTTTCCAACTCTTTGAAAATCGCCACTTTAACCTTCTCCTCTTTTGCTAAGTATTTGCGAACTGTTTCCGATAAAGGTTCCTCCTTCTTCGGAAATGTATTCAAAAGTTGGAGAATGTTCTGTTTTTCGTCTAAAATGTCATCTGCGTTTTCTTTGCTCTCGCGTGCTCTTTCTATTACTAATTTCACGTTTCTTTCGAGAACTGTGAGTTTAACATAATCTGCCTCTTCAGTTAAACTGCTATCACTTTCTTCCAAAAATCTCTTCAGCATAAGATTTATGGACTTGACTTTTCCATTGAAGTTGGTGAATCGTTCTTTCAGCTTGATCAGAGAATTACTGTTAGCAGCATTGAATTTAGCCTGGATAGCGAGTTCAGCTTTATACGCTTTCTTTCGTTCGTTTTCCTCTCTCTTCATCAACTCTGCTTCAATTTCTCGCTTTCGCAGCTCTACATTCAACTTCTTTACTTCATCCGAAATTTGCCGAACCTGCCAAAGAAGCAGAAAGCGCATTCCTCTGTTACTCATAGAAAACAAGTATGCAATTGTGGGTATATTTTTAGGAAACAGAGAAATTACAAACCACATTATGTCTATAGTTTTCAGTTAAAATTACGTACCTGCTTTTGTTTCTTGTCGAGTTTAAATCGTAAGGCTTTCTCTGTTTCAAAGCTTGCCCTTCTTGTTTCGAGGAGTTCAGTTCGCTCCTCTGGGAACCGCTCCCACATATTCAACAGGGATTTCTCTTTCATCTTTACGGAAATGAAAAGAATCTTGTTAAAAATATGTTTAAGCAGATTTGGAAAGAAACAAGTGTTTTGATGATGAAGAAAGGTGAAGACAACGAACAGTGATCGATATTAAAAATCTGTAAACAATACAAAAAATGGTAGAGAGGGCTTAAACACGGACCCCTAGGAAAACCGATGTGGGATCAGGTGCCTAGAAGGAGTAAGCATCCGGTTTTGAGTGACCACACCCGCCGTGTTCGAATGATCCGTCAATATGTAAATTTGAATTCAATCATGTTCAGATTTACATATCTGTTTACCTTTGATTCAATTGTTTTGATGAATTTCATCTTCATTTCGTCTGGAACTTGGTTGAAAATGGAAGGATATTTTTTAAATACTTCATCTGCCTTACTGACTTTTAGGTCAGTTCCTTTAAATAGAAATATTGGTAATGTAATGCAATACGTCTAAAATGTTATATTACACAAAAATTTCAGTGACTAGATATGTTTTAATATATGGATACAATAATGAAGACTTTTATGGACTCTCTCCCAAATCAAAAATATATACATGTAAATGTACACTATTCCGTTTATTTACATTGTTAAATAAGATGTGTTTGTGAAACACTGATGCCCCCATTTGGCAACATATCGAAGGTTACACTTTCTCAAATGCGTATCTAATATGTTGGTACCCAATGTAAGGCCTTCTCACAAGAAATACAATTGTCAAAAAATTAAAGCCCTAGCACCATCTGTTCAAAAGTTATGAAAAAGGTTAAAGTTCTTTAAAAGTAGGTCAAACCTCTATGTCAAGCTTAAGGTGAAAGGGTCAAAGTTGTTGGTTTCTAAAGAAAGGTCTTGTCACAACGATTACATATTTGAAGTGTGAAAGTCCTAGCTTTAACTGTTCAAAAGTTATGGCCAAGGTTAATGTTTTTTAAAAGAAGGTCAAACTCCTAGGTCAAAGTCAAAGTTGTTGGTATACAAAAGGTCTTAATCGTCACAAAGACTACATATGTGAAGTATGAGTAGTATAAGCAGCCCCGCCGGCCGGGTCAACTGAGTGCACTTTTTATGCAAATGAGGTTCAAAAATGGGTCAACTGAGTGGAGTGCTAACCCTAACCCCTAACCCCTAACCCTAACCCTAACTAACCCTAACCCTAACCCTAACCCTAACTAGCCCTAACTAACCCTAACCCTAACTCTAACCCTAAACCTAGCCCCCTAACTAACCCTAACTAACCCTAACTAACCCTATCCCCCTAGCCCTAACTAACCCTAACCCTAACCCTAACTAACCCTAACTAACCCTAACCCTAACTAACCCTATCCCCCTTAGCCCTAACTAACCCTAACCCTAACCCTAACCCTAGCCCCCTTAGCCCTAACTAACCCTAACCCCCTTAACCCTAACCCTAACCCTAACCCCCTAGCCCTAACTAACCCTAACCCCCTAACTAACCCTAACCTATTCCCCTTAAATACTGGAGTTGTTTACATGGGTACGTAGGTACTACGTTTTTTGTTTTTATGCTGACTATACAGGTAAAAATGCGCCTTGTGCAAAAAAACATTTCAAGAATGTGATTATGACGTCACGCTTCACAGTCTAGACAGTCCTCTAACCGGTTTGAACTGGTTTTACTGAAAGACAAGAACACACAGATTTTGATTTTTCAATTTTATTCAGAATGAAAATACAATTATACACTGTCTTCTTAATTTTTTCCCTCTCCTTTTTCTTTAGATTGTTTTTTCTTCAGGCGATAAAGGGATGCGACAATATACATACACTTTATAAATAGGCCTATCTGTAAAAAGTCCTTGAAGGCTGTTTTCTTTCCGAAACCTCTTTTCTTCCAATTGATAAAAACACAATCCAAGTTGAATTTTCCAGGAACTCTTCTCCAGTATTGTATAAGGTTCACTCATGATCTTCAATTGGTATTTTTGATAACCATCATATCCATTTTTTCTCTCCTTCAGACAGTATTTTTCCTCTCTGGTGTCATGATTTTTTTCATAATCTTCAGGATCCAATTCCACTCTTTTTACCAACCAAAATTTTTTGTACTTTAAATTCGGTGGCCATTTTAAATAATTTCTGTTGCGTTTATAAAAATCCTGGATGGCTTCTTCTTTAATTTTCATCCATTCTCCAAAACGTTCTTCGTTAATAGACCAACAATACTCCATTTCCTCTGTCATATTTTTTGTCTGCTCCATTTTTTTTTTTACCTGTGTCCAATTCCAAGTACTCACACAGAATGATCATCAATGTCCAGCGCTGGTTTATATACTATAGGAATATTTTAGGGTCGTGTGCAAAAAATACCTTTTACCTGTGTTTTCTTATATACCTGTTTGCATCATCTGTAAAGTGCCGTGTGCAAAAAGTACGATAAACTTACCTATGCATTGTGACGTCATTCACTGTATAAATACAATGTGATTATGACGTCACACTTTTTCATTTACAGTCTAGACAGCCTAGTCTAGCCAGCCTAACCGGTTTGAACTGATTTTTTTACTGAAAGACAATAACAAATAACACACAATACAAGAAACATTGTGTTTCTCTCAAGTTATAACACCAGGTCACTTTTTTAAAAAACTTAGAATTTCTTTTTAAATTTTTTAAACTTTTTTTTAAAAATTAACTTATAAATTTTTTAACTTTTAACTTTTTTAAAATAACTTTAAATTTTTTTTTATTATTATTATTTTTTTTTTTTGGGTAAACTCACCTTATAGTTTTTAAGAAATAAAATTTAAAAAATCAGGTAATACTACATCAGTGTTATGTTATTGTATGACTTCATCTTTTTAATATATTCGATCAATTCATACTATTAATGCAAGATATATTACTGTTTTTAGCGGCAGCTCACACAAATTGGTCCGACCAAAATAGTTCCATCATGATTAAGTAGATACAATATTATTGTTCATGATAAGAGTGAAGTTGTGTATTTCATACGTTAAAGAAATCAAAAATAACGTCAAAATATTATTAGAAAATCAGTTCCCCCCCGAAATGCAAATAAAAAATATCAATATTCCTACGCTCGCTCCCTCCTCAGCCTTTCTTTCTTTTTTCTCTTTGATTGATAACAGAGATTATCTAGGTCATTCTTCGATTGATATTTTTGTTCACCAATGAATTGATTATACTATATCAACAATTGTATTCATTCATGTTAATTGTTCGTTAAATATCATAAAATTTCATCTTAGAGAAAAAAATAATCATTCTGTGTGTGTGCTGTATTAAATAACGGAATGTTCAATCCCTGGGTCGATTGCTGCACGTGTGTAGGTTAACTGTAGGGAGAACGCGTATAAAATGTGTAACAAAACTTAAACCGGACCGGAGATTTCTAAACTGACAATCGGATTTATGCTGAAGCACAAGATATTATCATTATATAATTAGAATTTGGTTAATACACGTAAGTTATGTGACTAAAACATAAGTATATTTTAGTAATTAAAAGAAAAAAACAGGTTTTTATTTTCGAAATTTCCGGTTTGGCCCATACTTTCGTAACTTATTTTACACACATTTTGTTGCGGATGCAAATGTTAAGACAAAATATAGTTCTGCAGGGATTGTATGATTTTTATTATTCAGAGATCGTATTGACAACATGTAATGAAATTAAAATTTAGTTTAATAGATATTCTGGTTTGTAATGCAATGTGAATCGAAATATTAAAATTATGAAGATAGAAAAATATTGTAAACTAGATTTCTACGCGAGTAAAGCGTCATTTTCCCGCCAAATGCCAAGGTAAAGAGAGAAAGAGGAGGACCGAGGAGATTAACTACCACTCTATGTTACAGTAAGTATAATCCTTTCTATGATTATTTTCGATTAATGTCTATCAATCAGTTTGATTTTTGAAAATCATTCTTACATAAGTCAGAGCATCGATGTGAAGGAGCAATCGTATTTTCCAAAAGTTATGTCCCGTGTCGCCATTTTGAGGGAGAGAAAAAAACAACACAGAATATTCCAAAATATCTACAAAGTTTTACGTTTCATTGTAATCTTATTTTAATAAAATGAATTCATCTTTTAATTCTTCTGCTCGGGAATGCATGTGGATACGCTGACATGGAAAGATTACTTTTGACTCCTCTACTCAACAGGTCTGGTACAATCACTAGATTTAGCTACGTAGCTTGATTTACCTACATAGCTTTATTTACCTATACCTGAGGTAGCTTTATTTAGCTACCAATTTGGTTTTTTTCTATTCAAAAGCATTTTTCTCAGGGTGTACAGAAAATATCATTTTGATGCAGTGATCATTTTCAACTTTGAACTCATCTGAAAACAACTCATGAAAAAATCCCTCTTGGAAAAATGTCTTTTTCTGCGTAATTGCAATCAAAGTTCTGAAAGTTTTGGGGCTATGTATGACAGTTAGAACAGTTACCCCTTGGATGAAATGACAAAGAAGTCCAATATCGGTTAACAAGATAATAGGTCGGTAATCATTCAGCACAATGTGGAGTAATCATAATCAGTCATGCCTCACCGCACGGACAGCTAACCAAACAATGGAATTAGATGTTTTACTCTAAATTGTTCAAACTAAGCAATGTATAAACTATATCTGCTTTGGATTGTTTTTTTAAGCCTCCCTAGTATAAATATCAATAGTCATTTCATTGCGACTTTTTGTCTCTTTTTAATAAAAGGAAAACTTTTGAAAACTTACCTTGAAATAGCTAAATAAAGCTACCTGAGGTAGGTAAATAAAGCTATGTAGGTAATTCTACCTAAGTAGCTAAATCTAGTGATTGTACTGGACCTGCTCAATATACTGATGAATTTTTCCAAAACATTCGATGCATTTTTTAACTCATCGATTAACATTTTAAGAGACACAGTACGATTTTATAAAAAATGCCATATTTACAATAAGATTGATATGTTTTACGGTGTGACTGTTTGGGAAAGCGCAGTATTAACAATGAAAAAACTTGAAAAAGTTATCAGCCATTTCAAACATCAAACTGCACTATATGTCTCGACTACCTGTGATGTTACTCAACGTCAAGGAGTTTGTGGGAGCTTACAAAGACAGCCAAGGTTCTGGTTGACACTAAATATATTTAATGATTTAAAAAACTTGATAATATTATTGTTTGCAGTTAACTGTAAAGTTTCATGTTACGTCACAATCTTTTTAGTCAGATGTGTCCAGTGTTAACACTTCTCGGAAAACGGAAACGGACATGGAAATAGTCTGTTGCATGAACAACCAATCAGGGATAAGAAAAAAGGTCTAGTGATGGTCGTAAAGATTGTGGTTAGGACACATGTACAATTTCTGTTGAGCGCAGTTGTCAACTCGATTGTGATGTTATGTGAAACTTTACAGCTAGCTGCAAATGATAATAATTGTTATAGAGGCAGTATGTGAAATTTTTTAGCGGTAGCACAAATGAATTTTTCCTTGCAGTATGATGAAG